ATTTTTCCGAAAAAAATTGTTAAAACTTTTTACGATATGCTTGACTTTTAACGTAAAGTGAAACTTTTCTAGCACGTCACATACCACAGCTGTAGCTTGATAAATTACATTAAAAATAGGTCTAACTTCGTATTTTCCAGAATTGTGATGTAATAAAACATTTCTGAAGCTGAAATCATATCAAATATAAAAAAACTATAAAAAATAATTATCTTTTTTTTTTATTTTGTTTTATTAAATTATGCAACTTTGTTTTTTGTGAATATAAATATAAACAAAATTGACAATATTCAAATACGTTAAGAATATAGCATTATTTTAAATATTTGTTGAATATAAGACTTGCAGGAAGTGTAATATATAACAATAGCTTGTTAGAAACTTGGAGATGCGGCATATGTTTACCTCGAAATTATGCGCACCGTAACATTATATTCTTTACGAAAAGACTTATTATATATGTGCGCGCGAGTTAAACGGTACTACCGACTGATGCGACCGACGCAATTACTAAGCCACGCGGTCAATCTCGCTAACAAGACGTCGCAACACAGACCAATTATTTGATATATCCGCATGAAAGATCGGAATTTTCAACGTATTTATAAAAATACGTATTGCTAATGCGAATTAAAAATATTGTAAGATAGTCGCAAGATAAATCAAATCTTAGAGTATCAATTACAATTTAACCCAGACAGCACAAGGATGTCCTTAGGACGTCCAAAGGGCATCCAGGACATACATGTAGGATATCCTGAGGATATCCTATTTTAATCCTCGGATCTCCTCTGGATGTCCTGAGGAAGAGTAAATGATAGCCGTACACTAGCCTCTGGAGAATCCAGGGAGATCCTGTGGAACATCTTAAGGATTTCTATAGGATATGTTAGGGATATTTTTCATACGTTAAAAGGAACAAATTCTAAAATTTAAATATAAATTAAGATTGCGTTCTGTTATTTACTGCCAATACTAAAAATCTAATACTAAAAATAGTTCACGTTCTTTAATATTTGAGGTTTTCGTGCTGTACATGAATATTTTAGGTTTGGCTTCCGGGTTTGAGTCGTGTAATATTTTCAAAACAATCCAATATCTGAATTCCCTATGTTGGGATTGCATCAGAAATTGAACTGATAAAAAATAATTATATTTTTAATTTCCTGTTAGTTGCTCTTTGCAAGCTTTATATAATTCTCATGACCAAATCTCAAATACGAGTTTGCGCGTTGCATAGCGGTAAACAAACGAACTAGCGGTTGAATACTATTTTTTGTAAGGTTTTTGGAATGTTGCGCATAGTAACATTTCTCATAAATTATTAAATAAATAATAATTTTGAATATGTGAAAATGTGCGCATCAAATTCAATTATTAATATTAAACGAAATTAATGTTAACAATTAATTGCACATGTATATGTCCTCTGGAAATCCAAAGGACATTCAATATAATAGACAGGGCAGGTATCCTACAGACATCCAGGGGTTATCCAATGGACATTTAAAAGACATTAATACTTATTACAATACTTAAAATTTCTAAATTATATTAAATAGCCTACATAACCGAAAGTAATCATGTATGCATATTAAATTTTCATAAAATATATTTATAATAATATCTTAAAACATCCTACAAATATCCTGAACCATCCTGGACATATTCAGGATGATCCTGAGGACGTTTTGTGCTGTCTGGGGAGTTACGTGTTTGGTGAGTTTCGTGTAAGTGTTGGACTCTTAAATTAAAAGAACGTTTATCTAAATTAAGTTTCTTATAATCTATGAGAAAAATAGGGTCTGCGGACGCCCGAGCTAGAAGTTTCCGTATCGTTCGATTCCTTCAATTCCTTGCGGCTTTCCCCCGAAGTTTTAATATCGCAGACGTGAGTTTGGATGTTTGTTTCGTGGTTTCCACTAGGAAATGTACGTCCAGATTAGTAAAGAGTTATCCGTTAATTAAAGGAGAGAAACAGTTTGATAATTGATTTCTTTTTAAAATAAAAAAGAAATAAAATTAATGAAACAAAAATAGTTTTGAATGAAAAAGAAAAAAAATTTAATATAGAAATCATAATAATGAGAATTATTTTAGAAATGATGAAAAAAAGTGTGAACATCGACCCTTAACATTACATCAAAATCTTTAAGTTAATCACATTTGCCCATCCGTAGAGGGAAGAAGAAGATGAGAAAAGAAAAACGAAATATTTAACACATAATCGAAATAAGTAATAATATGATAAATAAATGTTTGTACATTAAAGATTGGAAAAATTATCAAATAACTGTTTTCTTTGAAGAAAGAAAAGAGGGGATGAAATAAGAAGAGAAAAAAGCTTTAAATAGATTCACTGTTAGTTGCGTGCGAAAGTGACAAATTTAAAAATCTCGCTGAATAAGCGGAGCCAAGGTCTATCTCGGATCCTGGACTCCTGGATCCTGGAGCTGTCCGGAAAGATTGTTGTAATGTTAATTGTGATGTTAATACACTTGTACGCACAGTAAATACCACTTATTGCCACTGATATTATAAGTCTTTTGGTGGTATGAAAAGTAGTACTCTGCACTCGCACTGTAAGAGCCGCGAAGAAAAAAAAAGAATCGTGAGGGTTAAGAGTTAAGGGGATCCAAAAGTGACGGCCGAACTCCGACGGGTTAGCGCCCTCATCCAAGCGTAACTAAAATTATCGATAATACCGACCGGAATTATCGATAATATCAATAATTTTAGTTCCGCTGTTACCAATATAAATATTTTTGCATGTTCCTCCCCTTAAATTGACTGTCGAGAGTTAAGTATTTAATGTATCGAGAGCTGAAGACAAAATAAATTTTCGAGGGAGGATTTCGCGTATTCTCGAATCTTAGCGTTTCCTCGCGTACCCTCTCCATTAGGCAAGCAGAATCCTTTTTTAACGAATCAAATCTTTAATTATTGCCCCTCTCATGAGTTGGAGGTGTCTCCCTTCCAAAAGGAGGTCCAGGAGATTGTGTCTATTGGTATAGGCTTTTGTTTTTAGAAGATAAGTCCTGCCCATTGAAGAGTCCGCCATGATCGGCTAAGTTGACAGTTTTATTATTCCCTTGAAATTTATCTCAAACAGATAACGCGCAAGGGTGATCTGGCAGGCAAGTGGTGTCAAGTATCGTGAGTTTTCGTCACGGATCATAGTTGCATCAGTAAACTATTGTCCCAGTTCTTCTCCTTATTTTTTGTTTTAAAATTCTTAAGTCTATTACGTGGACCTTAGAGCTCGACTATTTGATCCATCTGTTTGTCTTTCGCAACCACATGATTTAGATTTTTTAGGTTTATTGTTTGCGTTGGGTGCAAAAAGGTTTCAGAGCGTAGACTTTTAGTATCAGTGAAAGAGTTTTGAAAGAAAAGAATCGTGGAGTCCACCGGATGTAACACATGTAGCCCAGTCAACGAAGGAAAAATTAAAAAAATAATTCCAAAAGTTTTGAAAACTTATAGAGATGTTCATTTAGGCTTACTAATGAACGTCTAAAAAGTCCTGAAAAATTGAAGATGAGCTATCGCCGCCATCTTGAAAAATAGATGAACTTTTTCGGTTTCTTGCATATATCTCGTAAAATATTAACTTAATTGAAAAAGTAGTAATTATCAAAATGAGAGTTTATTAAATCGTCTACAAAAAAGGTATGATTCAATTTTTTTTAGCTATAATAGTTTTCGAGAAAATAGGCTGCGAATGTCGCGTGAGTCGATCTGTATACAAGTATACACGTCCAATATGTATACTATAGTGATGGAATCTAATTCAGGACTCCGAAATGTTCATCCTTAAGATCCTCATCGTTATAATAGAACAAAAATGTTCATTGTAAATATATGAACTAGAAGAGGAATATTTAATTTTTATACATTTTTTATACTTACTTTTTGTTGACGCAGTCTTTTGCTAGCACGGCTAGTACAGGGAATATCCTCATTTGCCATAAAAAAATCCGATCGATCGTGTAGATCTTCGAAATCCTCTATACTGGACGATGTTCTCAAGCTTGCTTTCGATCGCAATTAATTCCTATCTTCTTGCATCCACACAAGATGCAAACAAACCGCGATTGGACACAACTGCGCGTGGCTCTTTTGCCTTTTTACTCGGATTTTACTTGATTTTAATCGTGTAAGAGCCTTACTTTTATATCTTTTTAATATACGCAGGCTGAAAAATGCGTTTTTCTTCGTTCTTTCAATATATTAGATTTACTTATGGACATAATCCTGTACTATTGTTTAAATCTTGGATCAAATACAGGAAGATCATTATTAAGAGTAGATTAAAAACTGAGTTTTTACGGAATTGTATTAGGCTTGATATTGTTCCCTCACATTTGTCGACTTTTTTGTTTAATTCTGAGACTAACCTTTTTAACCAGAGATCTGTTAATTACTTTAAGCGCTGTAGACGCGGTTTTGTCAAGAGATTGCTACAGATTGAGCTCTCTGACACTTATTCATGTATTAGATCGGCACACATGCATATTTACAAACTGTCACAGTCTTTATACCGTAACATCCTAATGTCTGTTTGTAACTCTTTTTTCGCAAGACAACAAGGACCTTTGTACTCCTTTTTTACTAATCTACATGATAAATTCCATAAGAAATTCAATCGCTTATCTATCGAACAGAAAAAAGAGCACATAGATTTTAAACCGATTCGCTATTTTTATCGCTCTCCTACTCATACAAAAGGTACATATGAGAAATCTCAGGAGTTTTCATTTAAACCGAGAAGCAATACCGCTCATGACTTGGAGATCCAAATTGACCCACACACTTTTAACGATACCGCACAACATCCTCTACACATTAATGAGAAGTGGTTTATTAATTTGTCGTCCACAGCTATCCCCAATGATGTTCAAAGCATATTACAGTTGGGTGATAACTTTAGCCTTCCCATTTCTAACAGGGAAAAACTAACTATTGAATTTATCAAAAATATTGAAAGCAATGACATATTTTGATATAAAATACATTTTATCTAACATATTTTGATATAAAATAAGTGTTTTTATTAGTATTTGATATAAAATACATTTTATACGTCCCCCTTGATATCCAATAGTTTTCATTTCACAGTTTTTTTTTTCTACAACCAATATTTTCTGCGATATTAACTTGTAACATTTCATTTGTCTCACCCTGTATACAGAATGTCCGTCCATAAATGTCCAAGCAAATATCTCACAACTGATTGAAGTTGTGTTATATTATGATCTTGTGTTATAGATCGTTGGATTCGTCTCAGTAACGGTTACAAGACTGCGTAAAAAAATCCATATAGTCTCATTTAAAAAAATAAAGGAGACCTTGATCTTACCTTAGTTTATCAATCGATAAGAAAATCCCTCTTATCATCATATATTCCCCTTGATATCAAACAGTTTTCATCTCACACCTTTTTTCTATAACCAATATTTTCTACGATATTAACTTATAGCGATTTATTTGCCTCACACTGTATGTTACATATATGTATAAATACATGATATATGTATGTATAAATATATGCATTTATGCATATATACGTATATCTTTTTTTCTCTTTTTTTTGGAAAATTACACAGGTCTGCATGATTTTGCGGTCTGGAGAAAACAATTAGTTTTATATATTCTTTTCTTTCATATATTTCTTTCTTAATAAATTCAATCCAACCCGAAAACAATAAAAAGATTTTATTATTTTTTGATAGGATATTATCGCGTGAATTATGATTCTCAAAATTGGGAATTAATTACAATGTATTTAAAGGAGAATTACGCAAATATACACGTTTTGAATCGTGCCCAACTTATTGATGATGCTTTTCACTTAATGTTAACACACCAAGTTGATTCCTCAATATTCTGGGATATCACAAAATATCTCCAGCAAGAGACAAATTATGTGGCCTGGTATCCTATGTTCAAAGCTTTAGAATACATGTCGAGCATCTTTAGTATTGATACTGTCGGTTCCAAACTTCATTTTGTGAGGGTAATTGTCACTAAATTTATATTTAATAAAATTGTCACATATTAGATAGATATGCATGTAAAATAATTGCTACAGTTATCGAATAATTTGAAAAAGTAGAATATATAAGAATATAAGAAACACATTAAATTGTACAATAATATTTAGATTAAAATTAGAAATTTAAAAAAAGAAGAATTTCATATTTTCCATAAAAACATATACACATTTTTTCTTTCCGCTACTTTGTTGCTATTTACAAATTTGCAAACATACTGCAGAGTTTATATCTAGTAGTCTGATAATGATTTATAAAAATAGAACAGAAAAAAATAAAATAGAACATAGAAAAAAAGGATAGTAACAAATGTATTGTAACAAAAATAAATATAAAACTTTATATTATTTAACAATAATTCTTAGATAATGATGCGGAATACATTACATGATATGTTGGAGAAAATTAATTATATAGAAGTTCCTAACGAAGATGAGCATAAAAAATGTTTAAGGCAAGAGGCTGCGAAATGGGCATGTTTATTACATCGCCGGGAGTGTTTAGAAAAAGCCAACAATAAATTAATGCAACATTTTGCGGACCCTAAAAAGCATAAGTAATATTTTTTATATTACATTTATTACATTAATACTTTTATGCCTGCTTTCTTATATTTTATACAATGTTTGAGATTAAAAGTTAATCAATTAAATTACACAGAATTATATGCTAAAGTTTTATAACAGAATTTTTTTTCTCTGATATTTTATAGACTTTTGCCGTGGTGGACAGAATGGACATATCGTAATGGTTTGTCTTTATGCGAAGCAGACTCTATTTGGAAAGATTTGTATAATATGTGGGTGAACAACACTGATAATAAAATTTCTAAATTCTTAAGTTGCATTCAAAATGTTGATATCATCAAATACTATTTAAGCAAAACAGCAAATGTGATTAAGGAATCGAGTCCGGAAGATTATATTTTAAGATTGCAAGCTATTAACAATTTTCTTACTACTATCACAAAACATGTAAGAATCGAATATACATAGCTGCATATTAAGTAATTTCGAAAAAATAATACCTAGGTAAGAAGTAATATTTTTTTGTCAATGTACACTACTTTTAACAACTTATACAAACATGAAATTTTTCTTTTTATTCATATTTTCTATTTTATTTTTATATAGACAAATCAGCATAGTTGCAACATTAACTGTTATTATTAATCATTTATATGATGACGAACAGCTTATCAAGGTAAATATTTTATGAATTTATTTACGTTAAGTATGATTCTTCCTAAAAACAGTTGAATTATTATTTATTAACAATAAGTATCAAAATGTTATTTTTTAGTTAGAAAATTTTCTGAAAAATGATCTGAGGAGGAGAAAACTGCATTTTGAATTTAGTACAGAAATATCATCTCAAAAAATAAGGTAAATTTTATTTTATGAAAATTTCCTACTGATTCGAAAAACATTGTATATTTTGTTAATTTGATTTGATACTCACCTTTATTTATAAGAGAATATATAAATTAATATTATATATATGTATAATAGAAATTTAAATTATATATATGATAATGTAAAATTGCGATAAAATCACGTATTCACGTTCAAGCACAAGTTTAAAAACTTCTTATTATATTAATCTTCATGTGGAAATATATATCGTTTTTCGCCAGTGCATATGTAATAAACTTTAAAAAGTTTAATCAAGTTATTAATCAAGCTTTCTCACTAATCACTTTATCATTATTATTTCACCGTATTTTACTAAGTGTTACTTTTGATATAATTTGTTTTAGAAACACGAAGCAAATGCGAATCTGTTAAAAATTCAGGATAAGATAAAAAATCGTCGCTCCCAAATCGAGGATCTGCATAAATTTTCACAAATATTTAAGTATTAATAAAATTAATAAAAAGTAAGAAAACTAGAGTGCAAACGTGTGTCATGTTATGCTCGTGCACATGTCTATTTCTATTATAAACGTTTTCTACGTAGCTTATATTTATTTTCATTTATGTTATTGATTATTTATTATATTATTGTTATTCTTATAATCAAGAAAATGTGTTAATGATAGATTCGTATTTACAAAAACACTTTACAAGATGTCTAACAATATTTCTTGTTAATATATTTCTCTCTTCTATTATTTTTTTTAAGCAGCATGAATATACATATAACATTTCAAAAATATTGTATATTTCTCTCCCTCTCCATCTCCCTCTCACCCTCTCCCTTCTCTCCCCCTTCCCCTTTGCCCTCCCCCCCTCTCTCTCTCTTTTTCTCTCTCTCTCGCTGTGAAATATTTTTTTAACAGCTTGCGTGCATTTTGCAATAAATTATTCAAAATTTTTATTTTAAATACGAATTTGATTATGTACTAATGCCTGATTTGTTGACCAACGTTTATTGATCAACAAGATATTTATTAACAAATTTAGAAGTTGTTGGCATAACGTATCTATTTATTGTAATGTCGTATATCGAACACCGTTAGTCTTTGATAATCGGTAAAAGTGACGTTTTGGGGATGCAGCCCCGATGACCTTGACCTTGACATATGTTGTCAAGGTCACCCTCCTGAGTGACCTTCAGAAGGTTTTAGCCGTCGCTCATTTTTTATTAAAAAGTTATTAACTAAAATATTATTTATGCCACCCCGAAGGGGGGGGGGCGGAACCTATTGTATCCATGCATACATTTTTAAAGCAAAGTGAGATTCTACATGTGTTGTACATGAGTTGAATCTCGCTTCGCGTGGAAAGTTGTAAACCCATGTGGAACCTCACTTTGCATTAAAAAGTGTATGCATAAAACAGTGGGTTCCGCCTCCCCTACGGGGGGGCTCCACTCCCAAAAAAAATAACCTAACCCAAACCTATTTCTAATTTAATTTCTCTCTATCTTTAAAATATAAACTTGGTAATTTATGCTGACTGCCATATAAACAACATATAGTGAGTAAGGGCCCGGGCACATAAAAAAACTTAAGCAGTAAACTTAAGCGTAGCTTAAGCGTAGCTTACGTTTCAATATGACTGCCTTACTGTTCGACCGTGATTAGTCAATTCGCCTACGTCTTAAGTCTTACTGCTTAAGTTTTTCTATGTGCCACGGCCCTTAACACCGTCGCGTTTATCGTAGACGCAAAAGAAACCGTCGCGCCGAGATAATCGGCACAGCGTTTTTATATACACGGCGCCCGTCACAACAAACACGACCACGCGCCACGCGGCGAACATCTGTCGTGCTTATATATCAATACTATACGCCTGGAGCTCAATTTGCGGAATCTTCCGCATTTATTTATTAAACCGCGCGTCTAACAGCGACCGCGCCCTGAACGTTTCGCGCTCGCACACCGCCGCGCGCCGCGAACGTTTCTCGCCAGCACACCGCCACGCGCCCGCTTCACGGGATTTAAGTTATTGTACTTGACCATTGCCGAAGGAGGCAAATAAAGAGATTAACTTACAACCAAAATCTATCGTCGTGTCTCACCACTTTCTCAAGCCCTGATTTCGACCGAGCTTTATCCGACCTCGCGAAAGCGGCCCGTTACAATATAAATAATAATATAATTTCGTGATGTTTTACAATTTATAATAGTTAATCAAGTTAATCAAGATAAATGATCTAAAATATTTCTTTGAAACACAATAGAAATGCGTGTTGCAACATTGAAATATACTCTTTCATTATTGTATCTATTTTGATCTATTTAAATATTCAAAACCTTTTAATACGTATTTTGTTTATGTTTGTTCCGTTTTCTTACATTTATAAAATATGTTATATTAATATGCTAGATTATATAAATATATATAAACTTTATCAAAATTATTTGTTATTGCATATTTTTTTGATGTTTTATAAGTGCGCATAAGTTTGAATAAACAATGCATCTCGCGTTTAAATATAATTTTCAAAATACTACTTTAACTTGCACGTTGTTACTTTGTGATTGCGTAACCTTTGAACTTTGACAATGAATATGTATAGTGATTTTAATTGAATGTATAATTCTACTGATTTCTGCCATTTATCTATTTTTTTCCCGGAAGTGAAGCTGTTATATATTGAGCAGTTATCACACAGTTCATATCTGATTTTACAGATAGTATGGCATGATTTACTCTGTGGTGTAGGTTGTCATCGTATTAGCCAGTTTTATAAATTTCTGTTTTTAATAGAGTTACTGTTAGTTTAAAAAAAAAATTATTTGAGAATTGAACGTGGTGAGTATAAATATTTCTTGTATTTCTTTTTCATAAATATATATTTTTTTAAACTTTTGAGTAAGTTATCTCAAAGATTAATTCTGTATGTAACTGAATCATGTGCATAATATAGTGCGCACAATTTGAGCAAACGTGAAATAAAGTTTATAGTTTTATCGGTCTTCTTTTTGCTTTAAATATTCTAAACATCTGTGCTATGTTTTTAGTCTGCTATATTCTAAATACATATATGTATACCCCTAAAAAATAAAAAAACTCTGAAAATTAAAAAATAGCTTATAAAATAATTTTCCTCTAAAAAATAAAAAACCCCTAAAAAATATAAAAATAAAAACTAACAGAAATTTTTCTTTATCAACACATTCTTAAATAATGATGTTGAATTTATGAATAATTAAACCAATCTTGTTATACTACGATTAGGTCATTGATTAGAAAAACTTAAAAAACTTTTATTTTATATATATTTACTTGGAAAACTATAAAAAAATTAAAATTGTACGACTATTCTCTTTTTCTATACATTTTATGCTAAATTTTTCGTTGTTTCAAAAATAGTTTTTAAAATTTCATACCAAATAAATATTTTGTATAACATATAAAATAGCACTATCATATTGCGGATTTTATTACAAATAGTAAATCATATAACTATTTAACCCTTACTGCAATAATGTCGATCACATTAAGCACTAATCTCAAATTTAAAAATGCCCATTGCCAAACTGATTGATTTGTTTTGAAATTAATCATAAGCTTTACCAGATAGGCCCGGAACGAAAAGGATTAAGATTAAAGTGTCAATTTTTTAATAAAAATAAAATGCATTTTAATTTTCTCGAGAGAATCTATATTATTTCTATAAATGCAAGATTGATTTTATGACAAATACTATTTCAAATTACAAATCCTCACAAACTGAATTACTTATCTTGTATGTTATTACTGTCATTTTAAATTATTTACAAAATTAAAGTTTTTGTTAACAAATAATAATAAAAAAATAATTTCACGTGTATTGCACGCACGAAAACACAAATACATAAAACAAATTTATGATAATATATTAAATGCATAAAATATATATATATGATAATATATCATAATAAAAAAAAAGTAAGAGAAGAATTACACGATATAGCACTTATATGTAGTACTTTAAAATAGCAATAATTTAGTATTATAAAAAATATGCAAATACTAAATAATGAACGTAAGGAATAAAAAATGTATTATTATAAAATGAAAGGCAGAAAAGATTAAAGATAGTGTTTAAATTTATATAAAGAATTTAAAAAAAGTTATTGTTATAACTAAAATTACAATTAATTGAAGTATATTAATTATTTAAAATTATTAATTCTAATAATGGGATCTAAATGTAAAAGTTGAAGATAAATTCAAGTTTATTTTAAACCGGTATAAGCGGTGAAAAGAGCGGAGTATTATTAACAGAGCTAAGGTATATTACATCTATTGAAACAAACGCATTAATAGTTAATGTAGCCATCATTATTGAGTTTAAAAATAGAGTATTAGTTGTGTGCAAATTTCAAAGATTTATAATTAAAAATAAGATATGTATATATGTATATACATATGTATTACGATTATAATATACACTGCTCAAAAAAATTATAGCATAAAAAATATTTGACGAAAATTGGCCAACTTTGACTGCCGATCACTTCGCGAAAAATTATCGTAGACGAATGATTTTTTTTTTTAACTGTAGCTTGACGTCTTTACTTTAAGAATGTACCTCCATTTTTTGCATACGGTGCACCCCTATTCCTGTAACCCCTGAAATCTGAGGGCATATTTGGCATACTGAAAATTGCAAAGTTTGACGGAATGCACGGACGTGAAAAAATTTTTAGGGTTTTTTATTTTTTAGAGGAAAATTATTTTATAAGCTATTTTTCAAATTTTTTAGAGGAACATTTTTTTATAAGCTGTTTTTTAGAGGTAAATATATTTTTAAGCTTTTCGTTGCGTACGTAAGTTGGGATATTTTTTAAGTACTTGGCGTATTTTTTTTACCTTTGTAAGGTCTTTTTTAGTGGGATATCACTGCTTTTTGTAAAAATTTATATTTTCTCTGAAAAATATAAATTACTACATTATACAGTATATACATGGATGTGAATTTTTTAAAGATTTATTTAATAGAAAGGAAATATTTTTTTGGAAGAAATTATATAAACAGTATATAATTTTACAAAGCTTATATGTACCTAATTGAATTTGAGCGGACACAATCACAACGTGTCTTAATGCTCAATCTCTTATTGTCAATCATTCAACAGGTTTTAAAACAGGATCTAATTTTAATAAGATATAATTTTATTTTTATAGATATAATTTTAATACAGAAGTTAAACTGTATAGGTATTTTATAGATATAATTTTATTACAGATGTTAAACTGTATAATCAATAATAAACTGTATAATCAATAATAATATAAATTGTGTAAGTAAATATATATCAAAATATAGAAAGCATTAAAAAGGAATTTTTTTATTACGAATCGTCATTTAATATGAATATGAAACAAGTCCATTTTATTGAATAAACGCATACACATAAATGGTATATAATTCCTTCTATAATGTATTCTAATAAATGATATAACCAGAAGAGATCAAATATTTTTTTGCATTTATTGATTTATTAAATATGCTTATATATATCGCGAAATAGTACAACACAAGAAGAAAAGTGATAAAGTGATTAACGGTTATTAAGAGTATCGTGGAATAGTGCAAGGAAGAGATGTGATTTCTTTTAATAGATGTTATATTGAGCAAAGTTAGATTATTTTAGCAAAATCGATCGTCGGATGCTTACAATTGAGTGAATCATTGCATTATCAATTAACATATTTGTGATAAATACATTGTTGGAAAATGATTATGGAATCATTGAAGGAATATTTGAAGATTTTGAATCGTGTTTTCGATAACGATAAACTGGTAATTACGTGTGAACGCGCATTCATGTATAATGTTTATTTATATATTATATATAAATGTAATTAATGCATAATTAATATTTTTAATTTAACTTACAAATAGTTAAACAATGAGTTTATGTTAATACAGCAAAATAAGCCTTGTGGAAATTCTACCAAAAATATCATAAAATAACATTGAATTTCAGTGGAGAGAGAGAGAGAGAGAGAGAGAGAGAGAGAGAGAGAGAGAGAGAGAGAGAGACACATTAATTATATTTATAATTAATATATAAGTAAACATTCACACATTTCCAGAACCAAAAGTTGCGAGTAATTTCAGATCTGCAAAATGTTTGTGGACACTATAGAAATGCTTCGATATAAATTTATCATTTCATTATTTTTTATGAAACCAATTAATAAAAATGTGTATTCAATGTTGTTGTTTCTGTGATGTTCTTAATAGAACTTTTACCAGATTTATTTTGCTACATTAACATAAACTCGTTGCGTAGTTATTTGTAAGTTAACATCAAAATATATCAATTTATGCATTAATTATATTTATATAATATATAAATAAATATTATATTTATATAAAATATAAATAAATAGTATACAGGGTGTCCCAGATCATTTGGGACAACACTCGTGTGCAGATAGAGCGGACCAAACTGAGTCGGGAAGTTCTCTACCATTTTTGCTATAACGCTTAATAAAGGAATTATTATTGAGTAAAGTCTGGCCAATCAGCGCCGATCGTTAGCCGGGCGCACGTCGGTGAGCCGCGCGCCTGGTTATATGCGGCAGCACACACTTTACGGCGCGTGGCTTACCGACGTGCACCCGGCTAAAGGCTGGCGCTGATTGACCAGACTTAACTCAATAATAATTCCTTTATTAAGCGTTATAAAAAAAAATGATAGATGACTTTTCGATTCAGTTTGGTCCGCTCTATCTGCACACGAGTATTGTCCCAAATGATCTGGTACACCCTGTATACATGAATGTGCGTTCATGCGTATAATTACCAGATTATCAAAATCATGGCTAGCCAAAATCTCCAAATATTCCTTCAATGCCTCCATAATCATTTTCCAACAATCAATTTATTACAAATATGTTAATTGGTAATGCACAGATTCAAGCAGATTTCTTGTAAAGCATTTGTTCAATTTTGCTTATATAACCTAACCTTGGTCAATACAATTAAAAGATATCACTTCTCTTCCTTGCACTATTCTGCGATATTCTCATAACTGTTAATCACTTTTCACTCTTCTTGCCGCGCGTACTCTTATAAAATAGAAACATTATTATTATCTCACACGTATGTACACGCATCCACATATGATCTTGTCTCATAAACATTCTGCACATTCAAGCGAATAATCGTACATAAGCAATGTGAACACCGCTTGAGGGACAAAATCGCTTTGCGTGTGTGCGTGCGAGCATAGGTACGTGAGTTGTCTGAAATCTGAAACTGAAAGAAATATCACAATTCTGGTATACGATTATCATTCCTCAGGATTGACTGCACCAATCTTATTCAAACTGGTCGCAAATTTTTGATTACGGCTTTAGTTCCTGAGGAATTTTAATCGAAAGTTTATGAGACGTAGAACTCCGGATAAGCTACTTGGTAGCATCACGGCCCCTGTATATAGACAAAACTGTTGACAAGCCGAAAGGATTTTTTTTATATACTTGGCGTCGCGACGCTACCGCGTCGCTTGATGTAACACTGAAATAAAGTTCTGGTATCTCTTTACAGAATTGACATTCTTTGGAAGATGGAAAATAACAAGCGGTTCAATCCATATGTCAGCGTAGATGCTGAAGAAGAAATAGTTATCTCTGGCATTGCCGGACGATTTCCTAATTCTAACAATATAAAAGAATTTCAGGACAATCTTTTCAATAAAATCGATCTTGGTTCGAGCGATCATCAACGCTGGACCAACTGTATTAAAATTTTTTCTCAAAACTATTTGGAGAAGTCCACATATAAAATAAATAAAATTATATATATAAAATATGTCTTTAAGAATATTTTAGTATAATTTATTATCTATGACTTAACAATATGACAATATTATATTTATCCAAATTATTTTAAATTTTAACAGATATTTTCGAGATGCCTCCCCGAATAGGAAAAATCAATAATATACAAAAATTTGACGCAGAATTCTTTAATATATCGGTCGAAGAAGCTCATGTGATTAATCCTGGATGCAGACTGTTACTTGAGCATACCTATGAAGCAATTATTGATGGGGGTGTAAATCCCCTAGAATTACAAGTATAAATAAAAAAAATTACATATATAAAATATGTCTTTAAGAATATTTTAGTATAATTTATCATCCATGACTTAACAATATAACAATATTATATTTATCCAAATTATTTTAAATTTTAACAGATGTCTCCGAGATGCCTCCTCGAATAGGAAAAATCAATAATACGCAAAAATTAGATGCAGAATTCTTTAACATATCAGCCGAAGAAGCTCATGTGATTGATCCTGGATGCAGAATGTTACTTGAGCATACTTATGAAGCAATTATTGATGGGGGTGTAAATCCCGCAGAATTACAAGGAACAAACACAAGCGTTATCACAGCAATATGTATTTGTGATACACATCCGGATTTAATATACGACAAAATTCATGTATGCGGTTATTTTCTCAATAACTTAATATCAGAAATCGATAAAACAAATACGCTTTTAAAAGTGTATAAATATATTAATATGTATACATATTGCTAAATATGGGAAAAATATTTATATGAAATATTTATATATAAAAATTGTATCACACACATAATTGTTAATAGATTGCTGGATTACCCATTCTTGGATGCAATATAGGCATGATAGCAAACAGAATTTCTTATTGGCTCGGCGTTACTGGACCATCGTATAACATCGATACTGCATGTAGCTCGAGAAGATAGTGTTTAAATTTATATAAAGAATTTAAAAAAAGTTATTGTTATAACTAAAATTACAATTAATTGAAGTATATTAATTATTTAAAATTATTAATTCTAATAATGGGATCTAAATGTAAAAGTTGAAGATAAATTCAAGTTTATTTTAAACCGGTATAAGCGGTGAAAAGAGCGGAGTATTATTAACAGAGCTAAGGTATATTACATCTATTGAAACAAACGCATTAATAGTTAATGTAGCCATCATTATTGAGTTTAAAAATAGAGTATTAGTTGTGTGCAAATTTCAAAGATTTATAATTAAAAATAAGATATGTATATATGTATATACATATGTATTACGATTATAATATACACTGCTCCGCTAGTGTACATTTGTGCCTCCATCCTAATATAACTTACCAGTTTTTTCGTTTGGGTATGTGAAAAATAATATTATTGTGTTCAGAGTTATGTGTTGCGTTGTTAAATGGAATAAATATTTATGGATACATTTATAAAAATAATAATATGTATATAATGATAATGTTTATTAATTCATGTTTTGTTGAATGTAGCAATTTTTGTTTTTAAATGACACAATTAATTTGCTTATATATATCCACATTAAATTTTTTAAGTACTTGGTATATTATTAGAGAAACTAGAAACACACACACACACACAAAATTATATCTTCTATATTGATTGAAACAATAAACTATGAACATGAACTATTGATATTGTTTTAGGAGTTTTATCTAATGATGGCTACTGTAAACCTTACGATGAAGAAGGCTCTGGTTACATGCGTAGTGATGCAGCTGTAGTAGTATACCTACAAAAGGCAAAGGATGCAAGAAGAATCTATGCGACCTTTGTCTATGGTAAAACCAACTGCGATGGCTTTAAAAAAGAAGGAATTACCTTTCCATCATTTGACAAGCAAAAAATATTATTGGAAGAATTTTACGAAGAATGTGATATTTCGCCTCTTGAATTATCTTACGTGGAGGGTCATGCAACTGGTACTCTAGCCGGTGATCCTGTAGAACTTCAAGCCATCGATGAAGCTATATGCGCTAAAAGACAGCTTCCTCTATTAATGGGTTCAGTGAAGTCAAATATTGGACATTCAGAGCCGGTTAGCGGTCATTGTCAAATTGCAAAGGTGAATTTACAATAAAATAGGGTTAATAATAACAGCAAATAGGCTTAGAGTACACACAATAAAGTGGGAATACTGACATATAAAAGCCAAGGCGCGGGTATTGGTGCGCGAACTTATTATTGTTAAGTTTTATTAACAAATGTGCATTAAAAATGTAGTCGGACCGTTTTTTGGTCCATCTTCAGCATAGATATAAATATGTAGAAATTAAATTGGAATTTTATAACCTGACATGCATCACATTTGTTGTTGCAGTTAAATTCCAAATTAAAATTAATAATCAGAATGGAAGGCTCACTAAAACCCGCGTAGAATCTGTACAAATTAATGAACAACGTCCAAACGTCATCGTTATACGTATATCATTGATTGTTTACAATATAATTGCGACCAATGTTAGTACGGTTGGTACGATCACAAAAACAACGGTCATAAAGATGGTCATAAACCAAAGTCAAAAAGCAGAAAAGATGTAAGAGAAAGGCTAATGCGGCAAATTTACTTAATCTTTAAATTCAATTCAAACTTTGAAATCAAAATCCAAATTCGTTTCTCAATAAATCAATCCTTGAATTTTTGGCAAGTTTTCCATTATAGAGGAAATACGTACAGATCACAAAAACAAGTCCTAAAACGAAGTAAAAGCAAAAACGACGAAAAAATGGCAAATGCGACAATAATTAATTTTAATTAATTTTTTAATTCTATCTAAATTTTTAGATCTTAATTTAAATTTTCAAATCCATCAACTTTTTATATTTTGACAAAATAGGGTTAATACAATTACATAATCTAATGCCACATGTAAACTTAAGCAAGTTTTTTTTTTATTTCAATGTTATTTTTGGATAAAGGTTTTAATAGCGATGGAAACTGGTATAATGGCTCCTACTATACATTTTAAACATCCACGAAAGAATATGACTGCTATCATTGAAGGAAGAATAAATATAGTCACTGAACCGACAGAATGTAAGGGTGGTTATATCGGTATTAATTCCTTCGGATTTGGCGGTGCTAATTGCCACATATTACTGAAATCAAATCCAACAATTAAAGTCAATAATGGAGGAGACGATAATTTACCTAGACTCGTAGCCTTATCTGGATGTACGGAGGAAGCAGTTAAAATTATATTAGAAGACGTAAGTACACGTTACAATTTATTTCACAAATAATCTAATCTTTCTTATACTTATCTTGTATGTTATTACTGTCATTTTAAATTATTTACAAAATTAAAGTTTTTGTTAACAAATAATAATAAAAAAATAATTTCACGTGTATTGCACGCACGAAAACACAAATACATAAAACAAATTTATGATAATATATTAAATGCATAAAATATATATATATGATAATATATCATAATAAAAAAAAAGTAAGAGAAGAATTACACGATATAGCACTTATATGTAGTACTTTAAAATAGCAATAATTTAGTATTATAAAAAATATGCAAATACTAAATAATGAACGTAAGGAATAAAAAATGTATTATTATAAAATGAAAGGCAGAAAAGATTAAAGATAGTGTTTAAATTTATATAAAGAATTTAAAAAAAGTTATTGTTATAACTAAAATTACAATTAATTGAAGTATATTAATTATTTAAAATTATTAATTCTAATAATGGGATCTAAATGTAAAAGTTGAAGATAAATTCAAGTTTATTTTAAACCGGTATAAGCGGTGAAAAGAGCGGAGTATTATTAACAGAGCTAAGGTATATTACATCTATTGAAACAAACGCATTAATAGTTAATGTAGCCATTATTGAGTTTAAAAATAGAGTATTAATTGTGTGCAAATTTCAAAGATTTATAATTAAAAATAAGATATTTATATATGTATATACATATGTATTACGATTATAATATACACTGCTCAAAAAAATTATGGCATAAAAAATATTTGCCGAAAATTGGCCAACTTTGACTGCCGATCACTTCGCGAAAAATTATCGTAGACGAATGATTTTTTTTTAAACTGAAGCTTGACGTCTCTACTTTAAGAATGTACCTCCATTTTTTGCATACGGTGCACCCCTATTCCTGTAACCCCTGAAATCTGAGGGCATATTTGGCATACTGAAAATTGCAAAGTTTGACGGAATGCACGGACGTGAAAAAATTTTTTAGCCAGGCTTTATTCAATAATAATTCTTTTATTAAGCGTTGTAGAAAGAAATGATACAGGACTTTTCTGCTTAGATTACTGTGCTCTACCCGCTCACGAGCGTTGGCATAATCTTTACCAGACATCTTAAATATATACATATATATATATATATATATATATATATATATATATATATATATATATATATATATATATATATATATATATATATATATATATATATATATATATATATATATATATATATATATATATATATATATATATATATATATATATATATATATATATATATATATATATATATATATATATATATATATATATGTATATATTTAAGATGTCTGGTAAAGATTATGCCAACGCTCGTGAGCGGGTAGAGCACAGTAATCTAAGCAGAAAAGTCCTGTATCATTTCTTTCTACAACGCTTAATAAAAGAATTATTATTGAATAAAGCCTGGCTAAAAAATTTTTTCACGTCCGTGCATTCCGTCAAACTTTGCAATTTTCAGTATGCCAAATATGCCCTCAGATTTCAGGGGTTACAGGAATAGGGGTGCACCGTATGCAAAAAATGGAGGTACATTCTTAAAGTAGAGACGTCAAGCTTCATCTTGAAAAAAAAATTCATTCGTCTACGATAATTTTTCATGAAGTGATCGGCA